AAAACCAAATGTCTCTGACATTTTGAAGATTGTTTGGCACACGGTGGCCTATAGTTGCTTTGCATGTGGCAAGTAAGAATTGTTGAAAAGGTTTACTCTCTTGCAGCAAGAACTACAAGTGCAGGTGCCAAGGAAATTACGCCTTGAGGATTTATCAGCTGTGTGAATAGCATAAATAAAATAGGGTAATCCTTTTCTTTTATGGAAGTACAGCTATGGGGAAAGCCCCACCTGTTGATAAAGTTATAAATCCCTGAAACAATCCATTTCAAAGCACATATAAATTACCGTATTTTTCGCCCCATAGGGTGCACCGGCCCATAGGGCGCACCTAGGGGGTTTTGGGGGGGGGGGAATAAAGGAAAAAAATATTTCCCCCCCCCAGGTGCGGGGCTGGGGCGGGGGAAGCCCAAGCTACCCCCGACCCCAGCCCCAGAACAGGCTGCTATCCGCAAGCCTTGGGAGTCCGGCGGGAGCTCCCCAGGCTTGCGGGTATCTGCCCGAAGCTTCGAGATGCAGGCTGCTATCCGCAAGCCTAGGGAGCCCGGCGGGAAGTTGCGCCGGTCTCCCCAGGCTTGCGGATAGCTTCCTGAAGCCTGCATTCGCCCCATAGGATGCACACACATTTCCCCTTCATTTTTGGAGGGGGAAAAGTGTGACCTATAGGGCGAAAAATACGGTACACAAATCATGCAAAGGCCGATCCAATAAAACTCTCTCAGCTAAAAAGAGCACCTCCACCTGAGCAAGACACAGAAAACAATATAGATGATTATGCAATTTGAGGAATTTCTACTACAAGGGAAAGAAAAGAAACAAAATTCTACCCTGAGAAAATCAAAGCAATAGCCTCATGGGTAGAAAAAAAACTGGCAGTAAACAAGGGTGCTGCACAAAGAAGACCTACAAATACATTAACTTCTGAAGTAAGAACAATTTTTTACTCACGTGTTTGATGACATATTGAACTTGTTCAGATTGCAGAACAATAGTTTTAATGGCACTTGGCTTACAGGGAGAAAGTTCTTTATAAACAACAGGTGTGTAGCATTTCATTGCATATCTGAGGTCACTGGATTGCCGCCTCTCTTCCAAGATATCTTCAAAATCATCTTTTTTCTTTGATGTGAGGTTTTTCTGCTGGGAACAAAATGAATGAAGAATCAGACAGTAACTTAATCCATGCACAGTGCAATCTCATGCATATCTACTCCGAAGTGAAGTCCTTATAAAGTCAATAGGACTTATTCCCTCATAACTGTGTATAGGACTGCAGTCTAAATAGCTTTCTGAGGTTTGTCAGAGAAAATGGTGTCATGACAGTAAAATGTACAATTAGCAACATCTCTGCTATCATGAAATCCTTTATCTCTGCTGTTATGAAATCCAGTAACTTTACTTTCATGAAATCCCTTATCTCTGCTATCATGAAACCATTTTGTAATATTTGCTCTTATTTAATTAGAGTTCAACCTACACAAATGAGCCACAAGACTTAATAGCTGAGTTTTACAATCAAGGAGCTGGCTGGCTGGTTTAAATTAGTATGGCAAATTCAGTTCTTCACATGGTCTTTATTGTCCATAAGGGTTGTCATCTGGTAACAAATGCCACCATGAAAACAGAAGGAACAATTGGCAACACTCCCCTTTTATACAAATATTAAAAGACTAACTATAGTCTTAGCAACCCAGTGCTACCCACAGTCCCCATGCTCTCCAAATCATCCTTTGCATATCCACTTCCTTCTTGTCAATAGCATACACAAATCCTTTGGCTTCTAGCTCCCTCAATGTTATGCATTGCCTCTGTCCTATTTTCTCCCTCAATTCCATCTCTCCATTGTCAATTGTTTCCTTGAGTACCTCTTTATCTGTCCATCAGTTTTGTTCCATGTCCATTCGGTAGTCTATCTCCCTCCCCACCATAGCATACAGCCCCTACTGACCTTAAGTGGAGTTTCTTCAGAGCTTTTCTCCACCCTGAAAGCGTTGAGGCAGCATTGTCCCATGGGCAGTTTGGAACATTCACAAGTTGGAATGTCCACACCAATTCAGCCAATAACTGTCAGTGACCTCACTGCCACAAGTGTACTAAAAAAAACAAATGCACTGATTTCTACACATATGAGAACTGTGCATTTCAAATTGTTGTGTGTGTCAATGAAAGAAGATTTACAGATGAACCTGCATTCTTTGGGAAGGCACAGTAGCACATACTGGATAGAGAAGATCCCTAAGTGCAAACAGTGGCATTCCCAGTTAAGAGGATCCCAGACAGCAGAGCTGGGAGAAGATCCTTGCCTGAAACCTTGGACAGCCAGGCAGAACCGAAAGTACCAGGCTAGATGCATCAGTGGTGTGACTATATAAGGATGCTTCAAATGTGTCCATATATACATTATCCAATAGTGCCAGCATGAGATGCATACGTACTCACAAGTGCTACGCACACTGTTGAGCCCCCAGTATCTTCAGGTCTGTGTTGATAAACCAAAGTATACCCAACATAGGTGTATGGCTCTGTTCTGCATCTATAGGAATTCTTACACTAGCACTTGGGGCACATGGTTAGGAAGGGGTGGCACAGGACTAAGACTGCAATCTTCTACAAGCTTCCATGGGAGCAAGTCCTACTGAACTCAGTCTGAGTAGACCTAAATAGGATTGCTTTGTCAGTCTTCCTGCTTCAGACAAGAACAACACTGCACAAGAGACATACTGGAGGCAAAACTTGCTACTGCTATAGAAAATCCTTCTTTCCCTACTGATTTGCTTATTCGATGAAAAAAGGCTCCAGCATAGAATCACAGAATTGTAGAGTTGGGCGATCTAGTCCAATCCCCTGCAATGCAGGAATAAATGAATGTGTATGCACAACAAATGTGCACACATCCCAATGCAATGTGAAAGAAAAGGATTTGCAAAAAGCCAGCCTAGATGACTGGATCCATTAAAGCACCACCATACTGCCATTAACATAAAGAACAGGACTAAGGCAAGGCAGCACAGAGGTGCTACTTTAACAACTTTCCTGGCTTGCTGTAGTGTAAGAATTCCTACAGATGCAGAACAGAGCCATACACCTATGAGAACAGGGAATTATAAATAAGTGGAGTTTGCAATTAAAAAATCCAAAGATACAGAACTAGCTGTAAGGAGTGCAAGTTTCTTTGATTACTACAGATTTATCTGTTACCAAACAGACAAACTATTCTCATGAGAATGCAGCCTTCTCTATTCTCAATTGGTTCTGAGCAGTGTTTGAAACTGAGATATGAAAGCTAGGAGCTAAATGGCACCTTAAACCTAGGTTATGGGCACAACAACGGAATATCTAGGTGCACTTTTTTATAACTAGAATGCAAAGCTGAAAATGAATGAACTGCAGCTTAAATATTATCTTCCTTTTTCACATTGTCTAGTCCTTCCCCTGCCTACCCCCCCTAATATTCTTAAGAGGGTCTCTTCTCCAGTCTTCAGACAGTAGCTGGAAGTGGAGAGGCAGAAAAAAGCCCTCCTTTCCTTCCACTCTGCAGTTTTAATCTGAAATTGTAGGTGTAGTACTGCGCCTAGAGCTCAGAAACTGCTCACGTAAATGAAATTCCCTGTCACAAAAGGCACCTAGAACAATGGGAGTTTCAAACACTGCTTCTGAGATGTGGTTGGCAGTACTACATTACATGTTAGGATTTCTACCAATAATAAGCACTGGTCTGTACAGGTATCTCCTCCTACGTTTCAAGGGAAGGGGAATTTTTAGCATCTTGATAAGCCAGCTATTTGAAGGACTGTTGCAAGAGTACATACAAGTTCAAGTGTAACAAAACTGAGTGAAACATACTACCGCAAAATTCAGCAATACCTGCAGCACTGGTTTATGTTCTGCAGCAGGATAGTGACTGTAGGAAGAAAATGAACACACTTCCCTTTCAAGACAGTACTGTCCACCTTCTTTTGACGCAGTAAAAACAACCTTAAGATCAAAGAAGCAGCCTGGATCCCCCATTCCTGTGCAATCCCTGCTGCCTGAGATTGCTCAAATCAGTTGCGTTCACATAGCTCAGGTTTATTCCCTGCTCTTGGCGAAGGAAAAGAGGCTTACAGGCTTTACAGTAGATGAGGGAAGGCGGTGGGGCGCAAGCCAAAGTGACAGTTCAGTGGAGCTTCTTCCCAAGTTAAAAACCCTTATTTACCCTAGCAACCAAACTCACAGCCCTGCCACACACTGAGCCTATCTTCAGGCGACCATGCCAAAAAGGCTTCAACATATTAATGTCTCTTGTCTAAACGGACAACGATTCTTTCTTTCGGGACATCAGCGCCCATGCACAAAAGACCTTGCACTTCTGTGCCCAGTAAGCATGTCTGGCACATGAGCAGGCGGGCTCCACGTGAGAGCTGCCTGCTGTTTATGGCGTGGAGCGGTGGGCCCCGAACAGCTGTCAGGTAGGCAGCAATGCATCAGGTGCAGTTCCCCGCCTTCCTTTCCCCGAGTTCCAGCGCTGAAAGAGCATGCACCCTGACGAACTGCAACCTGCCTGTCATCGCGCGGACCTTCTGCCCACGACCAAGAGACTCACGCGGAGGGGTCAGCGAGGGGCGGCCGCGCCTCCCTCCCAGCCCCGACGAGGAAGCAGGGCCCGGCCGCTCTCCTTTTCCCACGGGGCTTCCCAGCACACAATGCCGCCCCCCCGCCCTTGCCAGCCACGGAGCAGCAGCACCGCCGCTGAGGGGACAGGAGGCGCTTACCGAGTACATGGGGGTCCCTCGCCGGACGGCGCCACCGACTGCAGCCGCCATGGCCAGCTTCTCCTGCCGGCAGCCGTTGCCTGGCTAAGCCCTCTCCTTCCCAGCTGGCTCCCTCCTCCGGGGGCCGGCAGAGCCCATGAACCCGCCCCTGCGCCCGTCCTCCTCGCCTCCCTGCCCGGCGGCTCCTCCAGCGCCGACTTCAGGAGGAGGGAGTAAGGAGAGAGGGGATGGGCGGAAGTGCTCTGTGGGCGCCGCCATCTTGCCGGGGTGGAGGCCGAGCGAGGACAAACCTCCTCTTACGGCGCGTTGCGGATGAACTAAGTGAGGCGGCGAGGAGGAGGAGGAGGAATCGACTCGAGCATGGCGGCGACCCCGGCGGCTGGGTGCGAGCTGAAGCCGGGGGAGGACGACAGGGAGGAGAAGGGCTCCGCCTCGGCCAGCTGCCTGCTCGACGCCGTCTTGAGCTCCTTGTACGACTTCGGTGCGTGAATGGCCGCGTGCGGGGAGTGGGCGCTCGGCAAGTTGCTACAAGCTCACCTGCCCTCCTCACCCACCCACCCCCGGAAACGTCTTGCAAGCGTCTCTCTCTGACTCTGGCTGCTCTCGTTTCTTCGGCACATGCTGCTTTCAGACGTTACAAAATTCCCGTGCAGCGCTTCCCGGCCCACATGCATACCATGCCTTTGGAGCAGCGGTCCTGGCTTCCCACCCGCAAGGATTTGGGGAGCTGAGAGTTGTTAGGACTCCCCTTCACTCAGAACTCCCTAGGTAGACGAGGGACTGACTGTTAAACTACTCTGAGAATTGTAGCTCTGGGGCTTCCTGACCATTCTCAGCACCCTTCACAAACTACAGCTCCCAGGATTGTTGAGGGGAAGCCATGACTTGAAAGTGGTCTCATGCATGGTGCTTTAAGCGTATGGTATAATTGTGGACCCAGTGTCTAGGGAATCACGTGTGGTGCTTGGCTGGGGTTTGTTCAGTTTTGCCATCCCTGCTATTAGGCAGATTCATGGAGGATTAGCTTTTAATCTCCACTGTGAAAGGCAGTATGCTTCTAAGCAGGAGTTGTTTTGATCCGGTCCTGCTGTGTGCTTCCCATGAGAATCTGGTTGGCCACTGTGAGAACAGGATGCTGGACTATTTGGGCCATTGGCCAGATCCAGCAGAGTCATTCTTATGCTCTTACTTTGGTTTTACTTTTGGAAAACAGCTGAGTCTTCTTCAGCACTTTTGCAAAGGCATGTTGCTTCAATGGAACATTAGAACTTCTTTTAGAAAGCAGGCAGCTTATGATACGGCTTAAACTAATTGATTGCTACTAGAATTGTTAAAACAATAAAGTAGTAAAGCAGATACTAGTTTAGCAAAGATCTTTGCAACTCCAAATCCAGCAGGCCAGAGTGGATCAAAACTGGTGCAGGAAAGTAATCAAAATTGCCACCTCAGGAACCTCTCTGAGGCTTTTTAGTTCAGTGTCGCAATGTCAGAACACAGGATGGTGGTTAAGGTCTCTCTTCCTTAACCACAATCTATATTCATTGTATGTCCTATGGTTACAGGCCACTCCCTGATTTTATAGGTTCCAAAATAAATGGTCTTTTCATATTTTCCTCCAGGGCCCCATCCACTTATAGATTTCCTGCACTTAAAACTAAAACATTTTTTTAAATTAAAGCGGGAGAGATTTTGTGTGTGTTTCCTACATGGTTTGTGGATGTGATCTCTCTAAATAATAAACATTCATTTTATATTTAAAAAATGATGTGGTATCCAAAATCACTCCAATGCCTTTGTTCCAATGCCTCTGCTAACCATTGTTCACTTTTAAACCACAGGTGAATCATTACCGGATGGGGGTGGAAAGAAAAAGAGCAAAAAGAGAAATTCAAATGAGAAGTTAACATTGGCGGTCAGCAAAACTCAAGTGGAAAATAAAAGCATGATTCCTGAATCTGGTGCAGTACCTCTTGGTAAGAAGAATACTGCTTCCAGTTTCTTTGAGAGTCTGAAAGATGAACTGGCTTATGACTGTATTCATCAGAAAAGCACTATCCCCAAATCCAGTTCCCCTGATGCTGATACATTTAAATCTGCTCGGTTGGGAAACACAACAGAGATTGAAGTTGTGACATTTCATGGTCGACGTAGAAAGAAGAAAGCTAAACTTGAAATTGCTGAAGATGGTGGTTCTAAGGTAAAGTTAACCAGATTTCAGATCAGACCAGCTACAGGTTCTTACTCCAGGTGACTAAATGAGTGGCTGTTTACAAACCTGTTTCCGTCTACAGAACTCTAAACAAGTTGTCCTAAGCATGTTCACTTAGTAAATAACTAGTAAATAACTGGAATAACTGGAAACATTTGGACAAACATATCTCAGCTTAAACCTTTTGCCCATGCATACAGTTCCATTGTTTCTTGTTCATACAATTAGTCAAACCAAGAAGCCTCTAATTAACCACATTGTTCTGTTTTGTCTGAACCAGGGAGCTGTGTTTTGCAGCTTTGGAACAATCAAAGATATTAAGACAACTGTAAACCATAGTTTTATCATCTGGCTTGTTCCGAAGCCAATACAGTAACTATTGGTTCCCTGAGAATCTTTGGTTAATCAGACACCTCCTGGTTTGACTGCTTACACTGTGAAAGGAGGGGCAAAGCAGCTGTATGAGCAGGCATAAGTCTCTTTGAAAAGGAGCAAGGCCACTGTGTTTAGTGGGACACATTTCATAATAAATGGGCTCAGGATTGCAGCCAAACAGAACTGAAAGTACTCTAGCATAAGCTGTAGATAAGACTGTAAATCTACATGGTTTGCTTTTATGTGTATATTTTGGAATTGTGACAAAATTTAAAACCTCAAGGATACTTGTTTTATAGAATAAAGGCAAAATAACAGGTATAAGTACTGGCAGAACTCATGTATGTTTTATTAGTATATTTGTAAAATAAAATCCTGTGGATAAATAAGATAGTGGAATCGGTTATGAATCTCTTTATGGCCTCTGAAATGAAATTCTGCTCCTAATCTTATTTCTTTAGAAGGATGGCTTTTAAAAGTATGAAATCTGGGTTAAAAAACTCAGTTGCTTGGTATAACAGTAGCCTTTATATAATGTTCTGGAATTATATGTTTAATGGTAATATAAGACACTCCCCAGGTCTTTTCTTTTTAAGAGGATAATAACAATTTACTATTTATATGCTGCCCATCTGACTGGGTTCCTCCAACCACTCTGGGCAGCTTCCAACAAATTAAAACGCAATACGACATCAAACAGGGTTGCCTTCAGATGTCTTCTAAAAGTCAGATAGTTTATTTCCTTGCTACAGTGGAATTTTTAGGTTTATATCAGCTGTAAAGGTTTTGGGGTTTTGGGGGGGTTTGCTGAGTCAGGATTTTGGTTTATCTACTTCTGTGTTAATTCTTCATGCAATACAGTACTATCTTATTTTACAGTGTTACCCACACTCAAGACTTCTGTGGTCCTGTGCTAGATTCTGACCCATTTTAAGCAATGTTTGCATTAGACATTCCACTCCACTCCACTTCTTTCTTGTATCTCATGCTGCTGGTACAGTAGCCTCCTATTAGGAAACTGGCTTCTGATTGGTGGTTCAACAAGATGTCATGATGGGTGCTGGATTGCCAAACACAAGCATTGTGTAGTAATTAAGTCTAAGCTGCATGGTTTCATTCCCAGAATTTTATCATCAGTTTTTGGGTGTATAGACAAGTGCTTAGGGCTCTTGCAGTACTGGTTTACGTCATGTGAATGTTGCAAGGAGCTTTGTAAAAGATAGAATGAGCATTGTAATTAAATTAGAACAACAGTTGAACTCCTGAAAGCGTCTGATGCATCTAGTGCATGATGGCTATTGTCTTCTAAAAAGAAAAAGAATTGTGCCAGTTTTGACACTGCAGAATCTCTTTACATGTTTGAAAATTAATAGAGTATATATATTTGGTAATGTCTCTATCTGTGAACCATGTATCCTGACCCACGTCATTGCTAACAGGGCATATTGATGAGAGAGCCCAGTGATGCTTTCATTATATTCATTTATTGTCTGTCTATTTCCTAAGGCTATGAGAAGGGAGCATGTTTTATTTAATATCATAAAAGCCTTGAAAGATATATTACTTTTATTCCCATTTTACAGATGACCTACTGAGGCCATGAGATCATGACTTGCCAGCAGTCTAAGGCACGGCAGATATTTAAATTAGACTCTAGGCCAAAATGCTGTATTGTATTGATCTGGTGCATACAAACAAACAAGATGAACTTTAACAGGGAGAAATGTAAAGTATTGCACTTGGGCAAAAAAAATGAGAGGCACAAATACAAGATGGGGGACACCTGGCTTGAGAGCAGTACATGTGAAAATGATCTAGGAGTCTTGGTTGACCACAAACTTGACATGAGCCAACAGTGTGACGCGGCAGCTAAAAAAGCCAATGCAATTCTGGGCTGCATCAATAGGAGTAAAGCATCTGGATCAAGGGAAGTAATAGTGCCACTGTATTCTGCTCTGGTCAGGCCTCACCTGGAGTACTGTGTCCAGTTCTGGGCACCACAGTTCAAGAAGGACACTGACAAACTGGAACGTGTCCAGAGGAGGGCAACCAAAATGGTCAAAGGCCTGGAAACGATGCCTTATGAGGAACGGCTAAGGGAGCTGGGCACGTTTAGCCTGGAGAAGAGGAGGTTAAGGGGTGATATGATAGCCATGTTCAAATATATAAAAGGATGTCATATAGAGGAGGGAGAAAGGTTGTTTTCTGCTGCTCCAGAGAAGCGGAAACGGAGCAATGGATCCAAACTACAAGAAAGAAGATTCCACCTAAACATTAAGAAGAACTTCCTGACAGTAAGAGCTGTTCGACAGTGGAATTTGCTGCCAAGGAGTGTGGTGGAGCCTCCTTCTTTGGAGGTCTTTAAGCAGAGGCTTGACAACCATATGTCAGGAGTACTCTGATGGTGTTTCCAGCTTGGCAGGGGGTTGGACTCGATGGCCCTTGTGGTCTATTCCAACTCTATGATTCTATGATTCTATAGATAAACAAGCTATCATTCAAGTTATCATTACATGGCTGTCGTTCAAGTTGTAACTTCACTTCTCTGTCTTTGGGCAAACAGACCAAAACTTAAGCATTCATGCACCTCCCACAAGCACATATAATCTCTAAACTAGACTGAATTCATAAAAGTGTGCTCATTTGACAGAATAAATTGATTAGGACTCTGGTTATTGGGTTATGGTTTTTTTTTATTTATCTCTCCCTTAATCTGAACAAATTCTAGGTTCAAAAAATGTGATGGGAAATTGCAGCAAGAATTCTTATTTTTGCAATCTATTTATTTTTGAAATTTATTAAAAATAGATTTTACACAGTAAATACTACCCTCAAATTCCGAACAGAGTGAATGAAATGTTTACCAATATCCCACCAGAATGCCTCTGAATTGCTTTCTAGCAGCTGTAAACCTGGGCTCAGGTAGACATCCGCTGGAAACATATTACATAAAATTGATTCATCCCCTGCTGATCTAACCAAAACAAATGAAGCAATGTGTTCTCTGACGTAAAAAAATATAGGGCTGTAGCATTTTGCAGTGGTTCAAATCCTATTTGATGAGCAAAGGTCTTTTAACAAGAGTTGCCATTATGTCTGACCACCTCCTGATGTGAGGGTGCAGGTTATTTGAAAACGTTTGCAGATGCAGTTGAGATCTTAGCAACCCCAACAACCAGGCTTTTATGTTTTGTCGAAAATAATAGCTATGGTGGGGGGAAAAAGATCTCAGGGCAGGTTTTGACTGGGGGGAAATGCTTAAACAGTTCAAGTTTGTAAACTGTTTTGTAACCACTGGTGCTGTTTGTGGAGACATTGAGGGAAGTGAGTGAACTGGCTATTATGAGAATAGGCAAAACACCTTCTGCTCTCCTTTCTTGCATGAAACGGACAGAACAGGTTCTGGGCTACATATCTGTAGACATAACAACAGCATTTTTGAATAGACAGGCAGAAGGTTTTCCTGAAATCACGTGGCACTGACTGAGACATGGAATTGCGGAAGGCTATTACAAAGGTGCTATGTGATCTTTTCAATCCTTTCGGGGATGGGTGGGTGTGTTTGGCCTATCTTGTTGATAAGGTTAAATACTTCCACCCACAATGAACAGAGACTAGATTTCCTCCAGTGTAAGGCATACAAACAGAACATCCTGGGAGGGCAAACATTTTGCTGTTTGTAGCCTGGAAAATGAGACCCACAGAGTAGGAAATGGTGATGGTGGCTCTGAATTACATAGTCCTTTAGTTTGAACAACATGCCAAATGGTATTTAACTTAAATTGGAAGTGGAAACTTTTGGTTTCCTCAGAGGAACCAGGAAGTGAGATGTCCCATTGTTTTATCTCCAAACCAGGCAAATATCTGTGTTCCTTTCCTGCTTTGTTATACATCTTATTTAACAACCATGCCCTCTATGGCACTGTTCTACTTTTTGATACAGGGTGATAAAAGGTCTGACCACAATTCTTGCACTACAGGGAACTTTGATTCTCTTTAGGCACTGACATGATTAATATGGAATGGTTGGTATCTGGCTTGAGCCTTGTACAATGTCTTTGATGACTAAACATTGTGTGGTGATAGTGGTGTTGTTCTTCCACCCTCAATATACACTTCATGTTTTACTTTCATGTATGTTCTCCTTTTAGTTGTTTTCCTTTATTCTCACTGTACTGTTCAAACTGAATTTCTGTTAGCATGTTAACCTTTTTGGCCCTCATCTTAAAAATGCCATATGCAAAATATGTAAGCTTTTGTAGGCGTGATCAAGGGATAGTTAGAGTACAATGGGCAGAGAGGCACTTTTCAGAGTCTTCATGTTTCAGTATACTAAGTTAACTTTTTAAAATCTCACTTGTTTGTCAAGGTTACAGATATCAAACAAAGGACGTAATTCAAGCAAATTTTAAGTGACATTTTGTGTTAAACTTTATATATTCCGTGAAGTAAAAGTTATAGATTTTCTTTTTCTTTTGTTGGAGCTGTGCCAGCAGCATGCAAAACAATGTGCTGGAAATTGCATATGCTATTTTAGATCTGCAGCACAATCCTTACATGCCTTCTCAAAGTAAGTCCCACTGAGCTCAACTCAGTTTAGTTCCAAGAAATTA